CCTCCCAGACACCACGGGACTAAGCTGGAGGGAAGGGATCCTCTGGTGTCTGGAGAGCGTCTGGCCCCAAGCCAGAACCAGCCCGCCGGCCGTACCGATGTCAGGCCCGTCGGCCGCGGCATTCTCAAGTCCGCCGGCCGTTCCTCAGTCAAGCCCGCCGGCCGCTCTGAGGTCAAGTCCGCTGGCCGCGCCGATGTCAAGCCCACCATCCGCGCCATTTACCCATAACCAAAAGAGGAGGATGAGGTAAAAAGGACTGATCTCTGCCCTCATCCTCGCCCCAGAGCGCCCCCCAGAGCTCGTTCCAGTGTCAGCTCCAGCCCCAGAGCTCACTCCAGTGTCGGCTCCATCCCCAGAGCTTGCACCAGTGTGGGCTCCAGTCCCCGAATCCAGCCCAAAGAGGGCTCCAGTTCCCGAGTTTAGCCCACGTAGGGCTCCTGTTCCTGAGTTTAGCCCAGAGATAGCTCCAGTCCCCGAGTTTAGTCCTGAGAGGGCTCCAGTCACCGAGTTTAGCCCCGAGAGGGCTCCAGTCACCGAGTTTAGCCCCGAGAGGGCTCAAATCCCAGATTTTAGCCCCGAGAGGGCTCCAGTCACCGAGTTTAGCCCAGAGAGGGCTCCAGTCCCAGAGTCTAGCACAGAAAGGGCTCCAGTTCCCATATCCAGCCCAAGGAGGGCTCCAGTTCCCATGTCCAGCCCAAGGAGGGCCCCAGTTCCCGAGTCAGGCCTTAGCGGTTTAGATTCTCCCCAAGGATTTTTTTGGGGGGGGGGGGTAGTAGGGGTTCATCCGTGGAGGCCAGGCCAAGTGCCGTTGCCAGGCTCCCCGAGCTCCCTACTCGCCATGGCCCCCTGAGCTCCCTACTCCTCCATGGCCTCCTGAACTATCTGCTCCGCCGCATCCTAGTCTGCCTATTCTGCCATGGCTTCCTAGTCTGCCTGCTCCGCCATGACTTCTTAGTCTGCCTGATCCGCCATGGCTTCCTAGTCTGCCTGCTCCGCCATGGTGCCCCGAACTGCCTGATCCACCATGGCGCCCGAGCTGCCTGATCCACCATGGGTCCCGGAACGGGTACCGCTCTGGAAGCCAGCCGTCCCGTGTCTGCCCTGAGGGGCCTCCAGAGCGCCCACCCCACCATTTTGCAGCACAAATGCATCACAGTGTAATATGTGTTTAAGTGAATGGGAATGTGTTTAGAGTTTTGCAAAAAGAGTGCATGCGATTTGCAAATAGAGCTTAACTGCCTGAACATGTTTAAGGTTTAGCAGAAAGAGTGCTTTATTCAACAAATTGGTTTAAGCTAGAGAGAATTTGGTTCAGAGAGTGGGGTTTAGTGTTTTAGCAATTCAGAAAAACTGTAAAAAAATGATGGCCGGATTTTAAACTAACAAAAAATATTCATAACATGTTCTCTACTGACATGTAGTCTACTACATATTCAAGTTTTGACCATTTTTAAAATAAAATGATAACAGTTCAACCTTTAAACCACTTTTTTTTTAATAAAAATGATGAGTCAGAATGATAAATTAAATTGTATCTGCTCCATAAACAGTTCTACCATGATAACAGTTCAACCTTTAAACCACTTTTTTTTTAATAAAAATTATGAGTCAGAATGATAAATTAAATTGTATCTGCTCCATAAACAGTTCTACCTAAGCTAATGTGCATTCTAAAAATCTCAACAGTTCTGATAACAAGGTAGCCTATTTTCCATCGACCGGTTAAGATTTACAACAAAAATTTGGTCCCATTTTCGTACAAAAATATGGCAGACAGACTGAATGAATTTGTAAATCCACAGTTTGAAAGCAGGTGGCGCCTATGAACTGCAGAACAGAGCTGTTTCCACGGTAACCTCTGTAAACAAAGCTGCTGCTGTGCTTCTAAACACTGTTTTAGTATGCATTACACGGATGGAAGACTTAAAGCAAATGCTATCGAAACTTTTCTGAAGACAGTCGGTTTCCTATTATGCATTAATACAAATAATTCAGTCATACTTTCTTTCATATAATTTCCCTCAGTAGTCTGCCTTCAGTCATGTTTTCACACAAAACGAAACTACTCTGCGTGTTGCGCCTGCGTGAGACTCTTAATAACTTTGATTAAAGCTGAGCAGTATTTATTGTGAGTTTTTCAAATCGCGATAATCGAATACGGGTTTAATGATAATTCAAATACGAAACGGGATAATTAGAATAACCTCATGGCCTATATGTCAAGTATGTCTTGGCGAGCTACCTCCAATCAGGCCACAAGCTACTGGTAGCTTGCGAGCGATGTGTTGGAGACCCCTGCATTAATGAGAAACAGCTGATTGAAGTTATGCCAGTAGTGGGCCGTCAGGGCCAGCAAAGCCTTCTCTGCTGGCCTAAACACTATCAGAATCACTAACTTAGTTTTAAAACAACGGTTTCATTGCCATTTATTTAAGCCAACAGACGCCTGCACTGTCGATTCTGAAGGCCTTAAGGCAGATTTCCTTGACCCTGGCAACACGATTGCTGAAATATGATTGGATAAAAGCTCTAATAGAAACATACACTACTGGAAGCAGTGCAACCAAGATAAAAGCTATGTAATGAAGAGACTAGACTATTGGAAATAATTGAATACACATTAATTTAAAAATATATTAACCAATCATATTTTGAGCTGGCAGCACCAGGGTGTGCAATGACATCTGCATTTTCTCGTCCTTTGATTGGATGGTCAGAGAGCGTACTAGTCAAAGCTAGCAAACAGCATCACTAAATCAATTTTTTTTTTCACAGTATTATTACTGTTTCTCAGGTTTAGATTTTCAGTGCATTTTGGAAAAATATTTGCCTACTGTAAATCTAAAAACAGTAGTATTAAATCACCGTGAAAAACAACCACACACCTCCTCGGCAACGGTGCTGTGAAAGACTCATCGTGAAGATGAAAAACCACTAGAGTATGGTAGGTTCATTTTCATTTTTGACTTTTTTTTATTGCTTTATGCGTTGCATTCTGATGTTATTTGCAAGATGTAAAGCCAGGTTTAAGTTTTCGTAAGAATATCTCTAACTGGTCTTTTCCTCCAGCCGCAGTGCCGCTGGTAGAGGCAGACCAGCGGGGAGACTCAGCGTGAAGATTAGATTCCTGGGGTACGTTAAAACATATGTATACACTTTTCTTCATAGTCTAGTATGAATTATTTTAATGTTACTTGCTCGCTTTCCCAGTAAATCTGTGCTAACTAGTAATTTCCTCCCGCAGCGCACTGGCAGACCGGCGGGGAGACTCGTGAAGATGAAAAGCAGTACAAGTTTGTTAAAATGTTAGGTCAAATTTAAAACACATGTAATCACCTTATTTGTTTTATACCAATGTTATCTGTAAGGTATAACTACGTTTGAGTTAATAAATGTCTGTAAAAACATCAGGTGGACTGTATTTGTGTCATTTTGTTAAGTTAATGCTTCAGCTACAGATGATGTGTGTTGCGCAGCTGTGGCAACTTGTTGAATTGTGTTATTGTAATTGGGTTTCTTGCTTTAGTAATGGCATTCATTCTCGCTATGTTTGCATAGTAGTTAAGAAAAATGTTGTAGTACATTTTATTCTACTTGCCTCAAACCACATACGGAAGCTCAAGTGCACCAACAGCACTTCAGCTATCAAAAAAAAAAAACATCAATTATTCAGTAAATGTACATGTGTTGTGTATTATGATGTTATATTTATATGTCATATCCTGGGAGGAGCTGGACAGAGGTAATCTAGTTTTCCACTGAATTGCACCTCGACGGTACAATGCTGCTGATGGACTCGCGGCTGAGATGACCATATGCAATGCTCTTTCATCAGGTACATTTTCATGTGGAAATTTCTAAACCAAATCACAGCAGAAACTCATTACATCATTTCCCCATACTTTATAATCTCCATGATCCCATATAAAGAAAGACTAGTAAATACTATAGCATATATTCTTAACTGTGGTGAAATGTTTAAAGACTGGTGGTTTTTAACTTTACTATAATTACTAAATTATACTACAGTATACTACAATTTACTATTTGTATCAATGTCATGTAAGATGTATGTTGTAATAATAAAATAAGTACCCAGTACGTAGTGTAAAACATATACTGCATCATATATTTTGTGTTATTACAATAAGGCAACTTGTTCTAAAACACAGTAGGTCATGCATACCACGCAATCTTAGAATAGGTACACCTTGTTTATGAAATACTAACAGTATAAATACTTTTAATTTTCCAAGTCATTACCCCCTTATCCCCTAAACTTTGCACATTGTTTCTGTTTACCTACATGTACGTACAGCTGTAAGTTATGCTTACGCGGAAAATTTCGATCTGTGTGTCATACATACCACGTAATTTCAGAATAGGTGCCCTTTAGTTATAAAATACTTACAGTATAAATGCTTTATAATTTCGCAGGTTATTACCCCCTTATTCCCCAAATGTTGCTTATTGTTCCCTTATACCAGGAATCCTCAAATCTGGCCCATGAGATCCACTTTCCTGCAGAGTTTAGCTCTAACCCTAATCAAACACACCTGAGTATGCTAATCGATGTCTTCAGGATCATTAGAAAATCACAGGTAGTTCAGTTTGATCAGGGTTGGAGATAAACTCTGCAGCGCATTGGCCCTCCAGGGCAAGATTTGATGAACCCTGCCTTATACCTACGAGTAGGTACTGTGGAGGTACTCTATAGTTACAAATAAGTACGCTGTAAATTCTGTTTAATTATGCAGTACATTGCGGGCTGTAATCTAAAGTTTACCCATTTTTGCGTGTAACCCATCAATCAAGGTTTTACTGGTTAGTTTGGTCTATTTAGGCCCTGCTAGTAAATACAGTAACTACACCTGACAGCAATAGCATATTTCTCCACTGACACCATAAAAGTAACCATATATTATGACAGGACAACATTTCAAGACGCTTCAAGCTATAAAAAGATCAAGGAAAATGTCAGTGGTTCAGTTTAAACTCACCAGTGAAGCATATTAACTGTGAGTTGCTGATGGTTGAGTTATAGACTGGTTTTCCTCTCTCTGCTGTGCACACATAAACTCCTGTGTGTTTTAGAGCAGCAGAACCGACAGTGTAGTTTCCTCCAGCTCCTCTGCTGCTGTCTGAGAGCAGCTTACAATCATTGCTGTTGCCTGTATAAAATGAAAAAGTGCAGTTACCTCAAGAAATGAGCAGTAATTTTTACATGAGTCTTATAAATTACCTCTGTTGGTATAATCAGAGTATTTAGATTGATTAAATGTTTTAATCGCTATAATATTTTTTTATGAAACCAGTTTATTCAGATGTTACTACATGAAGCACATTATATCTTACCTGATGAGACAGTTACAGTGAACCAGCTGAATGTCCAGCCTGTAGAGGAGCCGTTAACCTCACAGATTGTGTGTGTGTGTGTGTGTGTGTGTGTGTGTGTGTGTGAAGAGTTGATCAAACTCACCTGATACTGTCAGTGTAACTTCTTCACTGATGTGTAAGCTGCGTGATCCTTTTGTCTCTGCTCCATAACAGGAGTATTTACCTGCGTCAAACTCAGTAACAGGACTGAATGTGAGTTCCTGTAGTTCACTGAAAACATTGTCTGAATCTTCTTTATACCAGCCGTACTGCCAGCTAGTGCCTCTCTCAGCATTTATGTCACATCTGAGAGTGACTTTCTCTCCTCTGAATACATGTTGAGCAGGTTTAATTGTCACTTTGGCTTTTGTTTTTTCTGTACAATAACAACAATTCACAATGAAAAAATGTGCTGCTTTTACTGTATGAACACAGTTACTTGACTGTAAAACACACACGCTAAATCAGATGAGACTGAAGTTTTGTTCTCTATAGCTGTTATAGTCATTTATATAAGATCTGTCAATATACAATTATTGAGAATTGGGAAAAAATTGGAAACCGTGCTAGGCAAGTTCAACTAATACTTCATTCCGAAAAATAATATAATCCATGAGAGAATGTGCTTTTACACACATTACACAGAGATGTTCATCCGTGCACTTTATAAGTTAACAGAGAGTTGTGACTTTGATGCACAGAAAACTGAGAACATCCGAGATTGTTTTTCAACAAGATTTCCAACAGAAGATCTTGTCTCACTGCTCTGATTTTGATTTCACAGAGAATGTAAGAAATATGTGTTGTTTTTGATAGAATCATGGTTTGTTTCTGTTTCTTGTGTTTTACACCTCATAATTGTCACATGAATAATTTAACTTGTTAAAAGGGTGAGTTTATAATCATAATAAAATGTAAGTAATTCCTCAACTCGCAGTACTCATATTTGATGAAATATATGACTCAAATTGACTCACCTTCAGTATGTTCGGAGTAGATGTTTGAAATCAGCACTAAAACGCAAAGAGAAAAACTCATTACATTGAGCAGATAATTATGAAGTTGGGCAAATATAAAGATATTGTATGGGGACTGCATATGTGTCTAGATAAACATGAAAACATCTGACTGGTATTTTATAGATTTGGTTATAGCAGAGAACTGTTTCAGGAACTTGAAGACAACAGTCTGATCACGAGCAGAAGAATAAAGACAAACTCTTACTGCATACTAGTGAATATTATGACAACAGTGACAATAACTGCAAAACAAATCAACAAAATGGATTCAACACCATTATAAAGCACACAACTGAATTACAAACACACTGGTCTACAACACTGACTCATCTTTCATGCATACATCAAGGACTAGAGCTGAATTTTAAACTCTGAGAGCAGCAAGAAAAGACATAAATCTAGGAACACTAAAACACTTGATCGTTTACAAAATATAATAGCAATTCCACTGAAATACATTTAGAGAAAATAATACTCACAGAGCACAAGAGGAAGTTGACTGAGCTCCATACTGACTGAATGATGGCAGACGGTTAAAGACACAGACTGTGTTAAAGACTCAAGACTTCCTGAAACCTGCAGTCAGATCTTTAGGATCATGTTGTCATGACCCATTCAGTATTAAATAGTACAGTATTTTTCTGCCATTATGAGAAGTTGTATTCTGTTGTGTTCAATGAACAAGGGAAATGAAACAATATTTGTATGTCTCTTTATTGTAATGGTGGTATTAGTTGTGTTTGTAATTAGGTATTTACATGACAATAAATTGAACAATGCTGCTCCTCTCTCAGTGGTTAGTGCACTGGAGCTGAAATAGAAGAAACCAAACCACAACTATGAGCTCACATCTATCTGTTTCTATTCTATCAGGCCTCTGACACAGTTTAATATTCATACACCAAAGCATGCGACGGGCACATTTGCAAAAACAAATTTAATGCTTATGAATTCCAGTTTATCTTAATGAATCCACCTTCTTTATTTGAAAAAAGTTTTATTTTCAGCTCCCAGAAGTCTCTTTTATTGTGTTAGATCACGAGTCTTTTATTGTCATTTGAACAGTTTACACATGGTGGAAAACTAAGCAGTGAAATTTGTGTGGTACTGTAGACTCTGAATAACAACAACAAAAGCACAGCAATGCCGAATACAAAAGTAAAATATAACATGACAACAATGCAGACTACACTGGTCACTGTATATTTCACACTGTTGACTAAGTAGTGACACAGTCTGTAAAAAACTGTAGCAAATCTGAAGAAAGAAACCATTATTTGATTTTTTCTTATGAATATTTTTAGAAAAATACAGCCTACATCAGACACCAGCATCAATATTTAACTGAGAGAATGATGTGAAAGAGGAAGTACAAGAGAAAGAATAAACAGCTTGCATTAACTTAGACGCATTACTAAGAATTTCTAATAGACCCTTTGCAAAGTCCCCCCCCCCCGTTACTGTTGCTATGTCCGATAACCCATGATGCTCTCATGCCACATATCATGTTTTTCACAAAATACAGCAAAGAGAAAACTGACAATGCACCAACAGACAGGAAAGAGCATGTTACTTTAGGTATAAAACAAAGTCTCAGCTTTCAAATTGTTTTATATTTTTTAAATCAAACAATAAATATACTTTTGTGGCTCTTTAATGTGTCGTGACAGATAATTGTAGCGCCTCAGTTCAAGCGGCATGCTAACCGATAATCTCTTCCACTTTACTAGTTATAGCATGAAGCAAACATGAATGAACATCAGAAGGTATCTTGTTTTATAACCATTGAAAGACATCAATACACACCATTTTTCATGTCCACCAATGTTAATCTACTCTGCTGTCTGGTTTGTTTGTCAGACAAAATGCCAGATTCAATGTTATGATTGGTCAGATCGCCTGTCAATCAAACTCCCTGCGATGGGTCAATTGATGGTGCCATGATGCCAAATAAACCACATGCAGTGTGAAGAGAAGCTCATATCAGTGGTTTTCAGAGCTTGTTATATTAGTGCTTCTTCCAGAATGAGTTACCAGCTGTGTTGTGTGCATCTTGGTTGCAAATTACTCCGGTGCTAAGAGAAATTAAACTCTTTGGATGGAACTGACACCCCTTGAGGAAGGCTATATATCAGACCTCACCTAATACAGTCCTTTCAGTCATACTCCAGAATAATGGTCCTTTGAGCCGGATCTGGCATTTCGCATGGACAAAGGATTGATCCAAGTCAGTCAGCCAGTATTCTCTCACACAACACAGCTTGCACAAGGACTTGGAAATGCTGCAGAGAACATCCCTTCACCTTCTTCAAGAGTATCGAGTCCTATAAGTCAAGGGGTCCATGGGACACCTTGGATGAATGGCCTGTTGCCTACGAGACGAAACGTTCTTTTCAGAATATGGATGACACTAAACTGCAGCCACCTTGTCCCAGTTACGTCCCAGTGCAGCCTATTCACCATCCTCAGCCTTCTCCATATCACCGGCCATGGGAAGTACAGCAGCCTACTCCTTTACCACAGACATCTTACACTACACAGGATAGGCCATCCATGCGTCATGAAACTGCATGCTACCATCAAGGGTCTACGTTGTCTCCGTCAATGCTCCAGCCCACCTATGGTCAGCGACAACAGACAACCTACTCCACAGCACCATCCCTGAGGCCACCCCAACCCTTTCCTATTACTACTAGAGGCTCCTCACTCAGTTTGAATCAGGGGACTGTCTATCAAAATCTGCCCATCCCAGCAGAGGAAAGCACTGTAGATCCTCAAAGTGATTCTAACATGCTAGACATTTTAGGAAAGATGATGAGTGAACTCCAAATCATGAAAGATCAGATTCTGGCTGCCACACCTATGTAGGGTATCAGAGCAAATCAGACAATTTAAGATTCGATCAAGAACATGGTTGAAACAGAAAGAGCCAAATTCCACAAAGAGGCCCAGGACAACAAGACAATGTAATAAATCTGTCCACGATACCTTAGCACCAGCCAGTCTGAAGCAAGTCTAATAATAATAATGATAATAATAATAATAATAATAATTCCTTACATTTATATAGCGCTTTTCTGGGCACTCAAAGCGCTTTACATAGAAGGGGGAATCTCCTCAACCACCACCAGTGTGCAGCATCCACCTAGGATTATGTTCATGTTGGGTATGTATGAGTTTGAAAATTAATGCTTGAAACGTTTCTTCCAATCAATTCTTTGTCAAATGTATCATATTCTTGTTATAGAAATCATGTCCAAAATTATACTCCGCAAGAGCAGGAAAATCCGTACCATGTGACTGATAAGATAACATGTTGATTTATGTATTGAGAGGAGAAACATCGCAACACCCCGAGCTAAGACAATATCTAATTGGTCAAGAAACCATTTGGGATGTGTCCAACAGCCCGGTTTAAATACTCAGGACACCATCAAATTATGCTTTTAGTCATGCTTTTTGCCACTGCTTTTTGCCTGTGAATTCTTCGAGCGCAGTTCCAGCATGCTTCGGCCTGCACGCCCGCTGCTACTTAGCCACAATGAGAAGAAAAAACATCTAGTCTCATTACTTCTATTCCTTTATTTTAGTTTATTTTCTTTCCGTTGAGAGTTTCGTGTTCTGAGTTAAGTTTTGCAGCAACGCCGTGTCTCCGAGTTTACCTCGAGTCTGTGACCGCCTCAAAACTTCAACCAGCCCACAACTCCGCATCTTCAGCCAATGCCCAACCATTGGCTTCCCAAGACATCACTTCAATGACTACTGAACTTCCAGCCAATCAGCAACCTCAGGAAACCCCCTTTCTGCAACGACGACAACAAAGGGAACACCCCAACACAGGCAACGCAAGTACCTCCAGATTCTAGCTGAACTGGTGCATTTAATATAAATTTTAACCTCATTGAGGAACTCAGTGCCAGGGTTAATTAAGTGATTGATGATTGTTCAGGTCTATGCAATTGCACATGTTGCTGTAAACTTGGGATTTCACATTTTCATTCTCTTAAACTCATTATTTCCTACTTTCTCTCTTCCTGCAACTTGTATGAATGTGTGAGTGCGTGTGTTTATGTGTTATATTAGTTTATATTGTCTTAGATTTATCCAATAAAGCCTTATTTATATTGAAAAGAGAAGTATCTTGTGTTTTGTACTTACAAGTTAATGTCTTAAACTGCCGATCTTGTTACTGTGCTAATTAACAGTGTTTTCACTATATTTTGGATTTTAATATCCATTGCCGAGTTGATGTTATATGGCTCGTTAACTGAATCGCTGGCCGACTCAGTGATCAGCCGTAAAATTGTGATTCTGTTCAAATTCCCTAGAAAATAAAAAATAATTCCCTTTGAGCTAAGTTGGCCTGTTTCCCTTAAACCTATTAGACCACAGATGAATCCAGCCCCGTGTGGTGAGTGCAACTACCTAAGTCCCTCTTCTTTGCGGCATCCTGAGGAAACCAGTTCCACTCCTTATCAGAGAAGAGCTCAGCCACCACCTGATCGCCACCTAGATACTCCTCTCACTCATCAGTATTCGAGAACATAGTATGAGGCCCCTAGAGAGACCTTTGCTTATCCTGAACAGGTGTATTTCCAGTCCAAGCAGTCAATTGGACCGAAGCCAGCTCATAGAGCTCCTTATTCCCCGAATACAAATCCTGCAGGACAAGAAACTACATTCAGTGGTCCAATGCCAACCATACCAGACTTTAGCACCAAAGACCCCAGTGAGTTTACACAGTTGAATATAGCCATTGAGAACCTCTTACCACCTGATGCCACAGAACTGTTCAGATACCAAAACCTGTTGGATCATCTGAGACTGGATGAAGCTCGGCTGGTGGCAGACTCCTACCTCAATTCACCATTCCCATACTCAAATACCATGGCTGCTCTGAACGAAAGGTTTGGCCAGCCACACAAGTTGGCACTTAAGAAGATAGCCAAAGTGATGGATTCCCCAGACATCAGGCGGGGAGATACTGAGGAATTCGACAAGTTCGTTTTGCAGATAAGGGCTCTTGTTGGTATGTTGGAGACTCTTGGAGATGGAGGTGAAGCTGAGCTTTGATGCGGGTCACATGTAGAGAGACTACTGAGTAAGTTACCTTTTGAGATGAGATCAGGATTCCGAAGACAGATGGACCACCATCCTGGGTCAGTGTATAACCTTTGTGAGTTCTCTGAGTGGTTGCAGTATGAGGCCTGGTGCCAGAGCAGTGAAGCACAGGTCAATTACAGAGGCCAGAGAGTGGAGTAGAAATCAGAGCGCAGACAAGAAACAAAACCAGCTGCTCGTTCAGCCACCATCCTTCATGGAGCCGATGACATTGTCATTAAGGCACCTGCTGAGCCACCTCAAGCCAAGTCATCTAGAGTGGAGACCAAAGTTCCACCTAAAGCCTTTTGCCCATACTGCGATAAAGAGGACCATTATCTCAGTCAGTGTGCCACATTTAAGTCCTTCAGTAAACAACAAATGATAGACTGGATCCGAACTAATCGTAG